GTATATACTGTAGGTCAAAGCAATGAATTGCTTTAAAAATTAGAAGTGCTGAATGATTATTGATATGCTTGCCAAATTTTTTATATGCTAATTGAAATACTTCCTTGAAAATTGCATTATATAATAAAATATCATATTGATGTATTTGGCAAAGATCAATCATTTCATTTGGCCTGGGAGGTATTTGGTGATCTGAATTTAGGTAAGCTTGTACTTGCTCCAACCTATTAACAAAAAACAGTGCAATTGGTATATTTCGAATTTTAAAAAATTCAAGATTCTAAACTAATCTATATATATTATGTAATAATATAAAATAATTTATTAGTAAATAATTAATTATTAAATACTAATATATATTAGCACTTATAATTGTGTATTGAAAGTAATAAAGTAAAGAATAAACTGCAAATAAAACAAATTATCCTAATTTTCAAAAACTTCTATTTAGACTCTTTATAATAAAAATTAACAAAAAATATAAAATGATTATATATCCAAAAAGCAAATTTAAACCATGTATTCTATCTCATTTTATGGATAAGAGCAGAAGTGTAGGATCTGTACAACCATTTAAAGAAAGGAACAAAATCTATCATCATTTTCTAGCTGGGCTATATGTAAAAGTCATTTTAATTAAATTAACAGTTGAATTAAGAAGTTTAAAATTTTTATATTCAATCCAAACTTCTCTTACTAAGTTGAGTATGTGAGCAAAGCAAGTATTATATTTAATTTGAAGCATTAAAGGCAAAAGTATATTAAATACAGCCAACATATATGAAGTCTTATCCATAATAAATAAGATTATATTGTCAAAAGGAATCTTATAAAAAGACAATGTTGAAATAACAAGTTAAGAAATAGTGGTTTTATTAACAACTTGCAAATAATCAGTTTTAGCCAACTTGGTTTTATCAAAATAACTAAAAAGAATATTCACAATAGCCAACTACAAGATTTAGTTGTTTTGTCTACTATAATACATATCTTTTTTTCTATTAATAGACTTTAAAGTTTCTCTTCTTCACACTGAAACAAAATTAGAAGATATTTTTTACGAATTTGGTTAGCTCCAAGAATTGCACTGCCTATTAAAATAAAAATTAATTATAATAGATTAATAAAAATTAATCATGTTTGTTATTAAATACATACCATATTTACAATATTCTTGTAAAAAAGCTGAAAATATTGTATTTTTTCAAGTAGTATATCAGCTTTGGCAAATATCTTAATAAAGTCAAGAATGAAATACTCTTTTTCAATATCAGATATAAAAGTAGTGATTGTATGTTGTATAAAAGTTTTTTGGAGTTTTTCAAGTACAGAGTTTTTTTTTAATTTATGATTTGAAGATGCCAAGTGATTCTCAACTACTGATTTTTTTTTATGAGCAATAGTAGTTTGACAAAAATAGCAAAAAAGTTTTCTCCATCTACATAAAAATCATTCTTATATGAAAAGTTTTTAACAAGATGTTCTGTAGCCATAACCATTATATTTAACC